AAACCTATCCAAAATTTGACCAGAAACTCCGGCCAGAAACTTACCCGAAATGAAGTAAATATTTATATAATGTCCAAATAAAGATCATGAGTTAAAAGTCGTTATGTTTATTAGACCCTACCTACCTGTTTCGTGCCAATTTTCTTGTTATTTTTGGAGTATTTTTCGGATAAACATCAATATTATTAGTATACACTTTTTCACAGGTTCCACGGCAAACCGCTGCACAATACAAGTACACACCGATGGTGGGTTGCGGCGCGCAGCGCGCAGCTGTGTTAAATTATCTACTGTAATGTCTCAGATCCTCATTACGGTAGATAACTTCACACAGGCGCGCGCCCGCCCGCAACCCACCATCGGTATTGTTTTGTGCAGCGGTGCTGTGAAACCTGTGAAAAAGTGTATACTAATATCAATGTTTTTCCGAAAAATACTCCAAAAATAACAAGAAAATTGACACAAAACAGGTAATAAACATAACAACTTTTGTATTCACCTGTATTTGGACATTTATTTACGTTTCGGGTATGTCTACGCCGGAGATATGGGTCAAATTTTGGATAGGTTTCTGAACAAACTAACATAACAACATGTTGACTTGACTTGTAAATTATCAATGATTGTATTTGAAAGTATTTTTACTTGGTAGACCTTTCAATATCTTGCCAAGTGTTTCTAACATGAGATCTGGTGTAAGGTGAAAATCTCTGTGTCTTGAAAATTAAACTTGAATTTCTGAAAAAATAATTTAAAAAATAAAAAAATCTAGACCCTGGTCTAAACAAAAGTATTACAAAATGCGTGATTTTATAAATTAAGGCACTGCCATACATGCCACTCTGCCAGACATTAAAAAGATTAGAAAAAAAAAATTAAAATCTACTATCGTTTGTTATATAAAATGATAATAATCTAGATCTATGTACTATAAACAAGTTGGTCTTGGACACGTCTGACATTTCTCACACCGACTTTGATGCAGTGAAATAATTTCTGAGCCTGAAACCAACCATAAAGTCAAACAGTTTATCAAACATTCTTCATTATGTCTGAAAAAATGTTGTGTAAGGTGCTCATATTCAGAATGATTCTTCTATTTCAGATACATCATGCAGATCAAGACTTGCCATATTGAATGAAAAATTAACAGGACTTGAGAGAAGGATAGAGTACCTTGAAGCTAGAGTAAGTTGTGATACAATATTAAAGGGAAAGTCCACCCTGAAATTAAGTTAGTTTTAATAGGAGTAGAAAAATGAGAGAAACAAGTCAGTGAAAGTTTGAGCAAATTCCGATTAAAAATAAGGAAGTTAGGATTTTTTGAAGTTGTGATCAATCAAACACAAATTGGCAACTCTATGACGTATCATGCGAGCTCAACTTCCATTTGCTCAGTACTAAAAAAATCTAAAATTTTCATTTTCCCTCAAGAAAAATTTCAACCATACATGCACCCTACATATAATGATTGCAAATATGTTTCTATACTCCCCCTGCAAGGAACAAATATATATTCCGTCATCAATAACGAAGAAAACATGATTTTATGGAATATTATGCACAAAGCAAATGAAGGAGAGCTCGTATAATAAGTCACAGAGTTGCCAATTTGTATTTGATTGATCACAACTTCAATAATTCATAACTTTCTTATTTTCAGTCAGAATTTGCTCAAACTTTCACTCACCTGATTTTCTTATTATTCTGCCTCTATCGAAACAAACTTATTTTGGGGGTGGACTTTCCCTTTAAAATCAAATGTGCAAGGAATTCAGTGTGATTAAAATTTTTTTTTTTTTACTGATTTTCAATTAAAATTGAAATTTCTTTTCTCATGAGCTATTTTTAATGTATGTACCTTTTAATGAGAGCAATGCGAAGCTTAAGTCTTCATATATTAGTTTTGCTAGTTTTACTGATAAATATTCTGGGCCCCACATTTCATACTCTACCCATTATAAAAGTTGTCTGTAATACTTGCAGATCATGTATCTTCTGTAATGGTTGGTGATTTACATGTATCAAATCTGTCAATACCTAGGGAAAAAGCTGAACAACTACCGTACATGTACATTCAACATAATTACATTGGAAGGATAAACATTAATAGTAATTTCTGAACTCTTGACTATCTTCCATTCTCCAAATGATGTATAATTCTAAAGCTAGGGTAATAATATAACGAATTTGATATGCACTTTACATGACCAATTTCTTATTTTTATATGAAAATTAAAACTACTACCTTACATTATTAGTATATCATAGCATTATTTATATTTTGTAATTGTTTTTTGTCATTTATTTTCCAATTCCAACAGGTAACAAGAGGGGACACACTGGTCTGAGACTGATGGGAAGATTGGGGTTGTATAAATCATGTAGATAGCAGAAGAAATAACAGAGAGCAAGTCTACGGGCAGCGCAGTATGAAGGAAGGTAATTCCTGAGTCCATACTACATGTTCACTGGATGTCTTGGGAGTATAAATCGACTTTGATATGTCCAACAGAATGGTTGGTACAGACAAATCATACCAGTGATTGTTGGTATTCATTTTAATTTTCTTACAAACAGCATGTAGCACAATTACCATTCTTAAAAAAAACAACCTTAAGTTCACTTTTCCACCACCAGAAGTTATATATTAATTAAGATTTTAGAAATATGATGCAAATTTGGTTAAAGTAAACATTTGGTTGTGTTTATGTAGCCACTTATTACGTCTTTTAAAAGTCAGTTAGGAGATACTATCTGCAGATGGGGAGATAAATTTCATTTGTACAAAACTAAAACTTTCAAGACAAATGCTGGATTATACTTGTTCATGAAAGTTGTGGAATCATTAATTTATGCATCAATTGAACATGCTATGATATACAGGTGAAATTGTTCTTTTCAAGGGGGCAAATAAAAGGTATTCACTTTCGCAGTGATTTATTCTAAAATGCTCAGTGGGACTTTTGCAAGTTTAGAAGATCTGTGTATACTTGTTAGTCCTTTGTACATGAGCTATCTCTGAAATGGTCTATACATGTACATGTATTTGTAATCATCTTTACCTTTCTTCACAAAATTACTATGGCGATTAAATAGGTCATTGTTTAAGGATTTTGGGGAATAGAGTTGTGAACACTAAAATTACTTTGACAAATTGTCAATCAACATAGATCACATCATGCCATTTCCAGATAGTAATTTCAAATTGAATGCACATGCTGATCCCAAGATGTCAATTAGCCGACTGCATGAAATAAAAAAAAGTTAAGAAGACTCTTGCTGCCATGTAATCTAGGCTGCCCAGGAGCTGTTTGGAATTATTTATACAATTGATATTGATACTATTATTTCTTGGCCAAAATTTTACTTTCATTATACATATTTATACATGTAGTTATTCACTTTCAGTTTTACATACTTGTTTGCTTACTAAATATCACTACAGATATTTAGCTGACCTCAAGTTGTATTTATGTACAGAGTGATGTAAATGAAATTTATGATATATGTAATGTTAGTCAGTAACAAAACAAAATATCTGTTCTAGTATGGTAATGATGTATGTGAAGGGGAAAACAAATTATTTATTCTTTAGAAAAGACAAGTTTCTTATTCTCAAATTTTAATTGTCTTTCCAGACTTCCGGATGAGACTTCGGTTAACATTTATTTGTCATTCCATTTGTAAATTTGTCATTGACCTTTTATTTTTAATGAAGCTAGGATTTTCAAACAGTGAACATAGGCAGAGATGATATAACACTTTGTTTGGCTTTAGACTGCAAATACATGTAGGAGCAAATGTGAAATTCAAAGATTTGGTTGTGAAATTGTGCATCATTTAAACATGTGTATATAACGATATATTTCTATGAATATGCATTTGTGTCTTTGTGAAACATTATTAAGATAAATAACATATAGGTACAAAATGGATAAGAATTTTTAAAACGTAACATATCATAAAGAAGAATTACAAATTTACCAGATATACTTCCGGAAAAGGTTTCAGTGATGTATGCACTCGCATGTTCCTTTTTAGAATAAAAGCCACCAGTCCCCTGGTTGCTTACTTATAAGCAAACATATGCTTTCTTAAGAGCCGCCAGATGTAAAATCAAACGATCAGATTGTTGCATGGGACACATTTCATGTAATAGTTGTAATTTAAAAAAAAAATATTTGCGTAACGTATAAAGAGCATAATGTTATATCTACACCCACTTTGCATACGGTATAGTAAAGATCTAAGCCACAATTTCACATCACTTTTAGTGTTGTATATGTATGTAGAATATGGTAGTTTTTGTTAATAAAAATGTTATATAACTTTGTATAATAAATGCTGTGTATCTGATTGTTTATTCAGGATTATGCTCGTCTTAATGAGAATTTTCATTTCAGCAATCATTACTTCAATCAATCAATCAAGTAACAAACAAATCAATCAACCTACCAGCTAATCAGTCAACTTATCAATCAATCAAAGAGCCAATCCACCATCAAAGCTATCAATAGACCAGTTTACTAACATATTTAAATTTATGTATGTTTCTTTCCTGGGGACCTAGTGACAAGTTATTCCATAAAAGCTGCTTTAATGAATTAACTACAATAATTTGAATCCAGTCTGCATACATTACTTGTTGCTATGTCAGGCAAGCCTTGGACATGCTTTCTGGTTAAGAACACTATTTGTTTAAAAAGTATGCATAGCATTTGAATGTTAGTAAAGTGGTCTATTTAAAAGCTAACATTACCATCAATAAATCAACCAACAGCCAGTCAATCATCGAACAAGCCAATAAATCAATCAAATAACAAACCAATCAACAAACACACAAACCAAGTGATTATTCTACTAACCCCCCAGTCAGCAAGCAAGCAGTCAAGTAATCAACCAACCTAGTCTATGATTTCAGGTTATCAAGTTAAATAGTTTTGCCTGTTAAAATCCTTATGAAATGCACAGTCCCATATATCAACATTAACAAAATGTAAAATGTATCATATTTTTATTCATACCTCCATTATGCTGAAAAAAGATCAACTGAAATGCAGCTATTCATTGTAAAGTCAACTTCTTGAAAATATGTTTTCATTACTATGTTTGTATCTGACAAATGTATAAAGCTGGTAAATTTTTCCTCTGACCGATACAAAGTTTGCGCGCTATACAAGTAGCCACTATTATTATTATTATTATTATAATAGATTTTGCGACGATGAATGAACAGTTTGAATTACTAAAATGCACTTAAAATGAGTTGAAATCCCTTCTGGAATGTCACAAAATTCTTTGCAAATTTATCTTATTGCTATTTCAAAACTGAATACATTGATATTTTCGTTATAACCATGAAGATGATTCTCTGCATTCAATATACTTATAGAATAGAGCGTCAACACATGATTGGAAAATTTCAATTTAGATTTGAAACTCTCCATGCACAACAAACAAAAAGTGAATGAAATAAAATATCAATGGGTAATATGGCCAGGGACTAAATTTAAAAAGTGCAGTTTGAAATCCGAATGCATTTTGGAGAGTTTTACAAAACAATCCGGAATGTATTTTGAATAAAAACTGCAGGAAAACAAGCATTTAATGCAAATTTGGGCATACATTTGCATAAATTACAATTGAAGGAATCAAGTTCACAATTTTAAGTAAAAGTTCTACTCACAGTGACCAGCTATAAGATTGTTGCATTAGAATGTACGTCAATGGATTTGAAAATAATGCTATGATTTCTTTAGTTCCCTGAGGAATACAGTGGCATAACAGGAAGCTGGCAAGTCAAATGATAAATTAAGAGTCTTTCTTTGACATGACAGGCTTGACGATTGGCTTACATCACATTGCGTATTTGTATAAGATGATTTATCTCTACTATGACACAAAGACTGACTAATATCATTATGATAAAGGGTTGGCGAATCTGCAGAATTGGGACCCCCTATGGCTTTGGTGGTATCTGTCGAAAGGGTATTGTCATAGATACTGGCAGTGAAGTCATCTTTGATATCAGCAGAGTAAGAAACCATGTGGCATTCAGATACACAGGCAGGACTCCCCAGGGGCCGGCCTGCACTGATTTCATTAGTTTTCTCAGAGTAACACACAGCAGGGTCGCTATCAGATTCATTACAGCTCAATTCCATGTGGCGCCCAGATGCTTCCATTAGATTGGGGCACCCTACCGTTACAATGCTACTGCTGCTCAGGGCATCACTGGTATTCCCAAAAGGGCTTGCAGCATGGTTGCTAGGCAATGGAGCATCCTTTGTATCTCTGGTATAATCTTCTCTATCATCTTCATTGTCTACATGCTTATCCCTAGAGACACCCCATCCCCATTCTAGGTTCCTTGGTTGAGCAATGACCTTTCGGTAGCCCCCTGGGACGTTGAGCTTGAGGGCAGGTATTCTGAAGTTGCATTCTCCAAGTCCAGCCTCATCAAGTCTTCTCTGATACTCGGCTCCTGCTGTGTGAGATGGATACTGGATGTTGTTGCCTGGCAACGGCAGCATGACCTCCGTGAGGGAGTATTTGCCTTGGGTGATATCATCTTCAGTTACAGCATGTACCTGCATTAATGATATAAAAGATATCTGAGAGTAATTAGAAATGGGAAACTAATCATGTCACACACATCTCTATTTTTAAAACTTATTCACACACTAAACAAATATTTCAAATCATGTAGTGCCATGAAGAAATCAAATTGCATGATGCATGATGAATTCAATCTAAATAATTTTATTTACAATTTACACAATATAGATAGAGAGTGATACTTTGTACATATTCATTTTTTTATTTTGACATTACAAATACATTTAAAGAGAAGGTCGAGTTCTGAGAAGAGGTGAAAAATAAATTGTGAGATGTTTATGCCACATGTTTGTGTAGTCCCATATACATCTTTCTGTGTACAGTGCGTGTAACTTTACCAAGACTGGGCCAAATTTCTTATCATTTTGATGGTTCCAGAACCTTCCAGTACACACCAATACTTATATGCTAGATGATTGATTCAACAACATTTCTTTCACAATGCAATCGCATGACCAGAACTCAACTTTATCTTTAAGTCCCTTTTTGAATAGCACTTGAGTAAATCATATTTAGGGGCAAATACATGGTGCACATGGGTCTTACATACTAATGGACAGGCATAATGACGGATAATATTAGTCTAAGTGAAGAGACAAAACATGCGAGCCGCCATCTTGGATTATAATGTAGGCACGCATTTTTTCCATTGTCATTAAAATCCAAGATGGCGGCTCGCATGTTTCGCCCCTTCTCTTAGACTAATATTATAAATTTCAAAGTCATGAAAAGACACTTAATATCAACAAACATGGTTTACAACAACTCCAAATGACAAAATAATTCCAGCTATGCATATTTTTGAAGCATTTGATGACCCAAAATTTTTGGCATTAAAAAAAAAAAAAAAAAAAAAAAAAAAAAAAATTGACTGATTTGTTTTGCCGATACCGATCAAAGGTGCGAGGGTGTTGTTCCAAACCTCCAATCTGATCAAAGCCCCAACTTACAGGATTAGACAAAAGGGTCAAGTATTATTCTGAGATGAGAGCAATTTGTAATTAAACAAGACTAAAATGAACACATGTCTAATGGAACGACAATTCACCTTTGTTCCCAAGTCTTCAATACACACAAGATCACCCTCCACAACTTGGCAACCATAACGACACATCCTCCATGATGCCATTTGGTTCCAAACCAGGCTGCAGAAAGCATGGACATACATCTGCCTCATATTGTGAGGGATGTTCATCAGAGCTTTGATACAACCATCATCATCAGTTCCATGTCTGAAAGTGGTCAAGAAAAGAAGAAATGATTTTATCAACAAAATTTATGGAGACATTTGTATTTTTCATTCATAATACTCTTATTCTCATCTAAATTTAAAGAAAGAGATCTTTATAGCGAAATTGAAACTTCCTCCAAATAGTAGGACTCTAAATTACAGAGTACTTAGAAAGTAAATACATAAGGACCACAATTATTTGCTGTAGAAACTAACATTATTGACACATACTAAGAAATTTAGAATATAAAAAGAAATCAAATTCAAAATTGTTATGAAACAAGTTATAACATAAATCATCTTTAATTTTAATTCCATTGTAGGAATATTTCACTTCGCATTTGCCTATTTTGACTAGCACTTCATTTACTTTATAGGGTTTAATAATCCCACCTATCCCACTATTACCTATTAAGACCCTTGAGTAGAAGGCACTCTCTGGTTTTCATAGTTGGCATCTGTTTGAGGGCTTCTCTTGGGGAGCCTGTTTGTTGAAAGCAGTGTTTAGCTACATTGGTAGCATTGGATGGGTCTGCACAAGGTCCATCATCTGGAGATAGAATCAGATCAATTGCTTCTTTCTACAAGTATGAAATTGATGTACAAAGAAAATATTAGGAATGAGGAAGACAGCGCAAGAAGGCAAAAAGAACACAAACAAAAAAGATGTATAGATAAGGATAAATTGAGCTTAGGCATTGAAACAGTTGGAAACATGTGTACAAAGCAGCACATATGTCTTAAGAACAACAACTACTCTCTCTCTGCCTTTTAGAAGTAAAATATAATCTTAAAACTTAGAATGTCTCTCATTCTACAATATGTTTAAAAAGTAAAAAATGCACAATCATACTTAAAAAGTAGAGCCCTGTACCTACGCTTCCATAAACCTGAATTTCAGATATCGAAACTTTCCATGCTATGATCTAAAGTTAAATAAAGTTTAAAAAAATGAAATGTTATAGATTATTTGATCCAACATGTAATTTCTTGTAAACTAATTTGAAGCTTACATATTTTCCCTGAAGCATGGCACATCCTACATCTGCTGGGGATATAGTTGTTAGTGCCTTGCTTGGGTCAACCGATGAGGCTCCAAAGCGCTGTTCTCCATAGTAGTTGATAAATCCTCTGTCCTGGTGTAACAAGCAAAACAACAAGATATGTGAACAGTGAAACAAAATGTTTGATTTTGAGGCATGTATATGTAACTGATACTAAGTTTTTGAAGCTGTAATATCTGATACAGCATTATTCAACATATATAAAACACGTTGAACTACTGTCTATAACAAATATGAAATTAAATGTCACTATATTACTTTGACAGTGTGTTGCTTTTCACAAGATTGAATACTGGTCTAAATGTTGTCATTTTTTAAAGTTAGGACCACATTTGTTGCACCTAATATGTACATATAAAATGGTTATAAGTTGGTCCAAGTGTGTCCAAATGCTTCATACACCTGAAAGCTCACTAGCTAATGCCTGTCACAGTTTGTGTGAATGTTTTGACTCACCTCAACACATCTGATGCATTGCTCAATGCAGTTTTGAAGCTCTCTTCCTTTATCTTCTACGGTTCCAGCTCTCACCTCATTTGATCCATTCTTCATTTCTATGTTCTGAAGAGTGATATCAAAGTGGTTTCCCCAAAGCTCACCAGTAACCATAGATTTGTTCCTGGAGTGAATGGAACCTACTTTCAGCCACCCAGGGAGCTCCTTGGAAACATCTTGTAGTCTGCATTGAGAAAATGGGTATAAAAGAAAATTACAAAAGAAAGAGCAAAACAAAAGGTAGGCTAGAGGACGCATAAAAAGAAAAAGAAAATACAATGAACTAAGTCAAATACAACTAAGCATTCCGGACATTCCAAAAGACTGATTGTCCACAAAACCAATGATGCCAGTATTGTGAACTCTCAGAAAGGTGTCAGAAGGCCTCCAAGACCAACATGTCGGTCTCATGAAGCATGCAGTCTCATGAACTCTCCGATAAATTTTAAGCAGACCCACAGGACTCCCATTGTCAGTCAAAAATCTCCAAAACTGCATTCAAAGTAATACATTTGTTTTTAAAAGGAATTTCAATCATTAAAGGTAATACAAAGTTTTGGTATGGAATCATGAATTTGGTTCAAATTAACATATTGGAAGCATATGCGATCCTACAATATTCAGTGATTGTTGTCTCGGTTGAAATCGAGTCTAAAGTGATGAAATTGTGAATAATTAACACTTTATGTTGTATAGCTCCCTCTAAAGGTCAAAATATTAATCTAACTATAAACAATGTTTCTTGATTATAATCGACCAAATGGCTATTCCCTTTTGGAAATTATATATCACAACTACATATTCTGAGATTTTCATAGTCGCAGCTACCATTGTATGGCCGTAAGCGCTATTTGAAATTTATCAACATTTACCGGGAGCACCAGTAAATTTTGATATTCAATTTTTCTCAAAAGCAGAAGTGTTTAAGGGGCTCCATTTTCTAGAGCTTATAATACATCCACATAGGCATCAAAATATATCAAAATTGTAAAGAATCACTATCCATCCAATTTTCAAAATTTCCCAAAACTTTGTATTACCTTTAACAATGTCAATGATGGTATACCATTCACCTGAATATTTGAATATTATTGAGATGAGTGTTAGTCTGGTTTATAACCTTGTGATTGTGATCCCTTTCACAGCCATTTCCTGAGTAGTGACAGCCTTCTTATCCTTGATGCCAGCATAGGTGAAGTCAGAGATTTGGACTCCCATCAGTCTGGCTAGTTGCTGTATGGCAGACAGTGTTTCTGTGTTGGTCTTCTGCAGAGTGAACCCTGTACATAACATGAAGTTGACTGTTAAACTCAAGAGTTCTACAGCTTTGAATGCTCACTCTAAAGGACACAACTTCTGTCAGACTTACAAGCAATGTAAGTATCATGATTAGATTACATATCTGCATTTTTATAAGAGAAAGAACAGTAGTTTACACATTTTCTTACAAATAAGATTTCTATTGTTTAAGCCATTCTTGGGCTGCAATATCAGATATTAGATGAGACCTTGATGCCATCAACCTAGTAATTGATATCCAGGTAGGATCTTCATATTAGTACCTCTTAATCAATTGTCTATGGGAACCGGGTGGTCCCTGTGTTAAGTTTATGGGAATGAGAACACTCAGTAGCCAATGGGTTTATAAAGTATATGTTCTAAATTAGGTAATATTTTACAGTTCTCCAGTTACAAAATAGATACATAAAATAGAAGCCCAACAAGCACCAAATTACAAATGTTGACCAACTAAGCATTTCCAATTTGAGACTACACATACATGTAAGTGGCATACTATTACCGGTTAATACTGAATCTCGAGCAGAGTGACCGTCTCCCCCTTTCCTCTTCTTATGGTCCTTGATTTGTCTGAAGCGTACCACAATCTTCTGATGTTCTCTAGTGGATGCTCCATCTCCAAAGGTCTTAGTTTCCAGGAAAGATCCATAGTGCTTAGCAACCAAACGATGTAACTTGGTCCTCTGGTCTTTGGACTCCAGCCCCTCAAAGCAAAAGGTCTGCTCACGATCTCTAAGCTCCACAAATTTGAAAAATTCTAGTACTTTTGATAAAGGAATTTGTAGGTCTTGGAATTCGGCTATCCCAGGTTCCCTTGAAATGTGAATCTCTAGTCCCCCCTGATCAGGTACCTTGTGAACCTTTGTTCTAAGATGTGGGTACAAGTGCCTCACACATTTGTGAATGATAGTACGAGACTCCTTGCTTGAGATGAGGCCTAGATTGAGATGGGCTTGGTGAGGTTCCAGGATGGTTGAGCTAGCTGTATTTGTCTCTGTACATGACTCAGGATTAGACCTACCGAGCGATTTAAGCTCAATTGTGGCAAATTTTTCCAGTTCAATAAAAATGTCCTTATCCAGTACATTTTCCAGACATTTCCTAGAGTCTTTTGGAATGAAGCCCTCCTGACTTACTTTTACCTTGTTAACCTGGATGGAAGACAATTCACTTTGGATGTGGGAGTCTATGACAGAGGTACTCGTGCTAGTATCAGATGCAGCTTTAGAGTGTAGGGGTGTAGGTGTAGAGTCTATAGCAGATGTATTGGAGTGTTCTGATCCATCTCTAAATTTGATGCCAAGCTTTGAACTGAGATCGATTTTGATATCTATTAATGATGCCAGCCTCCCGTCTGGTGAAATTTCAGTCACTTGGAAATCTTTGGGACTGGTCTTGACGTTCCCCTTGAAGCCCTCATGTTGGGACACATAGCATTCAATCCCAAACATCTTTCACTGATTATCTTCGGCAAGTTACCTATGAATATACCACCATTTCCAGGTCCAATGGTCTGAAACGAAAGAGAGGGAGAGGGAGAGAGAGACAGAGAGATAGAGAGAGAAATCCAGTAAATTGACTTTGTCCATTACAGTGTACCGGTATTTGAAGTACCTGTGTGAAGTTATCTACCGTAATGAGGATCTGAGACATTACGGTAGATAACTTCACACAGGCACGCGCCCGCCCGCAACCCACCTTCGGTATGTATTGTGCAGCGGCGCGGTTTGTCGTCTATGCCGTGAAACCTGTGAAAAAGTGTATACTAATATCAACATTTATCCGAAAAATGCTCCCAAAATAACAAGAAAACTGACACAAAAAATGACGAAACAGGTAAAAAACATAACAACTTTAACTCATGATCTTTATTTGGACATTTAATGAATATTTACTTCATTTTGGGTATGTTCTCCACGCCAGAGTTACGGGTCAAATTTTGAATGCGTTTCTGAACAGGCGCCAAATTTTCAGTCTAACATTAACCATGTCCATGCATTAATATTGCCATTAATAAATAATGAACTCATGGCCAGCTGATCATGTCCACACAAGCTTCTTCTTCTTCTTCTTCGGGAGTACTCCTCAACGTTCCGTAAGGCAGTTCCGTAAGGGGGTGCTCTGTATCCCCCCCACCCCCCACTGAGCGAATTTTCGGCCGGCGCGATTTTCAAATTTTCGGGAGCAAAAAAAAAAAAAGTTGGGCCCCCTCCCCTAAAAAATCCTGGATCCGCGCCTGCCGTAAGGAACCAAGCGAGGAGGAATGAGGGGGTGCGCACTGTGCTTGTTTAGTTCTTATTGCTTGAGTCTTGGTTGCGGAAAAAGTTGGTTGCTTGGAGTTTGAAGGTGTCAATGTTCGTGGTCCTTTGGATGTCGGAGGGTAGTGAGTTCCAGTCCTTGATGGTACGTGGAATGTAGGAGTGTTTAAAACAATTGGTGCGGGTGGAGTATTGGATGAAGGAGTTTCCTGAGGTACGTCTGGTGGCTCGTGTAGCTGGACGCAGGTAGTCCGACACCGGCAGGGCCAAGGCCCCCCCCCCCCCCCCCCCCCCACAAGCAACACAACATGTTGCAACATACTGTACTGCAGCTGCATGTAATTGTCATTGTCGATCTGACTGACCCTCTTTCACGTCACTCGATCACCATCAAAAATACTGTTAAATACATCATGCAAATCAATAGACGCCACAACAAAACATTAATCTTTTTTTGGGGTACCTACTGTGTTAGATTTGTCACGTTCGAGGTTTACTGGCTCACCGACTACACTACAGCTATGATCCAGGAACTGACAAGATATTCAGCCCACTGGGTCTCCGTGGCAGCTCATGTATGCTACTGCGCAGGTATGTGAGATACGCTCTTCCGGAGACTACAGATTTTAGATACCCAACTACGGAAAGTGGGCGCGGCATATCTTATGCTTGTTAGGTGAGTCCATTATTAATTACAGGGAAATATATTTTTGAATAAAGAATGATAAAAAAAAGAATTGTTCTAGATCTAAGTAATATTTTAATAGAGCAATATTAGAAAGTAAGTAATCAATTATTATTATGATTTACTAAGAATAGTCTTTATATCAAAAGCTTGTAATTTTCTTTACGTTCTAAGAAAATTCCAATCTTATAATGAACGCAACCTAGCAACAACATTGTATCAAAATGGCGATGATGCTGCAGCATAAAGCTGCAAAATCAGTCGCACAACCGTCATCTAAATACTACACAGGGGACAAAAATCCAGTTCTAAATGCTTTTGAAGAAGAGTACAAACTGTTTATACAATTTATGAAGAAGAGAGGTACACCTGGCCATAAGAAAAAGGATGAAGAGCCATTTGCCAGAGGGTAATTTACTTTTTCTATTTTCCCTTTCAGTCCGATGCATTGAAAAACATGATGTTGATGACATTGATGGTGGCATGCGTGCGCATGCAAACCAGAAAACTTTTAGATCTAGATCTAGATCTAGACCTAATTACTAGCATGGACTTCTTTTTAAACAACCTGTCCACATACAGATTTTCTTTGAAAAACCTTAAAATTCCCTAATTCATTGGTTTAGAACAATTAATTTTGTTACAAATGTTAGATTCTAATCTTGCCGGTTGTCCCTGGACTTTTGCCATTTTTTTTTTAGTCGACTTTACGCTCACTTGACCAGTAGGGGCACTGGTTCGGGAATGAATCGTCTGCATAAACGAGGATATCTTCGTTAACGCGGAAAATTGCATCCTTAGAAAAAGGGAACGTCTGCATTTTCGCTGACGTTTTTTTTCATCGGTGCTAGCTCTGCGGGTTTCGAGTGTTTGGCGATGTGAAAAACAGGTTCCGTGTAAGAAAATAACCCCGGTTTACTGTCTACTTTTATGGGTTATCCGTCTTCTCGAGGATTTATCGCTCTAATTTGAAAGTCTCTGTACAAAGTTAATCTAAAATGCATGAAGAAAATCATCGCAAAATCTGTTTTTTCGCATCGCCAACACATGGATCGGAATATGAAACGTCTGCGAAAATGCAGACGATCCAGGTTTTTGCGGACGCATCTGTCCGGGTTTACGAAGACAATCGTCGTTTATAAGGATGAATCTTTTTCTCGGACCAGCTGTATAATATAATAATGACCCCAAAAATGCCAATAATCAATATTATTAAGAACTATTTTAGAGGCTCAACATTTTCAGTCAAATATAACAGAAATTTATAGATAAATTAATTAGATGGTGCCTGAGGCTGAGTTAGACAAATAACTCTATAAAATGGAAGGGTCCATATGCTAATTACTATGCATATCTTGATTGGTGGATTGTCAATTACTGTTAATTTCACCTCAACGTAAAACTAATGATACGAGTCTACATGTATGACAAGAAATGTATGAAAATTTCATGGGGGGGGGGGGGCAAACCTCAATAATATTCTTGTTACTCGGTCAATATGGTAAACAGTAAAGACAGAATTTCGAGTTTGACGCATCGTCCATGTCAAAGACACAGTTTAAGTTATTAGGATCTAGAGCTTTTTTTCTATCTTTCATTAAACAAAATTTTTGTTAATAATTCCTTTACAGATCCAACACGTTGTTCAACTTGTGGAACAACTATGAAGCCAGACTACCTTCTACCTACTACCAGAAGAAAGTCATCGAGATGGGAGACTTTCTGGTTTCTATGAAGGTTAAGATCAACACTATACGAGTACATGTCTTTCATTTCTGTACAATGAGTATTAAGCATGCTTATCTTGATATCATCTGTAGGCTCAGTAAGCAAAGATGCATGGCAAATTATAGCAATCTTTATAATCTTGACTTTATAACAAAACTTTCATAGCTCTATGAGGATTTTGTATTGTTAATCAAAGTATAACCTTAGTAAGAATCCAGCAACTAAATAGGCTTGCAATGTATTGATACTACAGGAATACAACTTGGCTGTATGGCAGTGTTATGGACGCTACCTTGATCAGTTTGGTGATCTGCACATTGAAGACATTGTGGACATCAAGACAGTGAAGGCGATTTTCTTCCCAGATGGTCTCGAGACAGACAATGCAAGTTTGACGGTAAGAAATCTTTCTCCACATTACTGGGTTATGATAATAATTGTTGGAGATTGGAGAGAATTTTAGCCTTCACAATTGCCTATCTAAATTTGTCATTGTCATTGGGTTGTCCCAGTTTTGAGCTTTTGGGAGTTAGAGAATTCAGTAGTTAATTATATGTTCAATGTCTATTGACTCAGAGTAAATGCTGGTTATGATATCAGGAATATAAAGACAAAACAAAAAATAAATCCACCATAAGATGTTTTGATATTGAACCTGTAATTATTAATTTGAGTTGGTAGTGGACTATCTTTCAAATTAATGTTATCTAAATGCTTGATTTTAAGTATGTGCACATCCTGCATCACTTTCAACTTTCTCTGACAAATCATAAAGTAATGATTGAACACCCAAAGTGACATATCTTGTACATTGTATGAAATAAAGAGATGCATCTCTGATCTTTCCGTTTGATTGATTAGTTCCGAGCATTGTATGGAAAGAGCATCTGTAACTACCAGCTGGTATTGATGACCGATCCCAAGCTTCAGAATACCCAGTCTGTTGCCCAATGCCTCAAGATCCTGGCCTTCCTCAGGCTCATTACACAAGTGATCCTGCCAAGAGAATCACTTTGCTGGTTGGTCTACAATGGTAAGATGTTGGTCAAGAGTTCTTGTCATTTAGCTGAAAACTAGAAATTCACTTCTCTCTTAAATTGTACCTTTGTCAAAATTAAGCATTTTTCATGACCTCATCACTAAAGGCGGTATTGAAGTAAAAATTACTCTAGCTTATATAATCTTCATCTTAATACCCATGAATGAATATTAAAAAGTCAGAATGAATCAGGAGAGCTTGGGTATTTTTTTCTAGTTCATCGTGACTGTGCCATGGACCAGTGATGGCCTGGTGGTAGAGTTGCTGCCCGGGAAGCAGTAGATGCATGCAGGTACAAGTCCCGCTGGTTCCAAGATTTTTTCTGACTTGTTTTTCAATACAGATCGATCAATCGATCTTATTTACTGGGTGTAAGCCACAAATATGTTTAAATAATTGAAATTTCTCCCAGGAAGCATTACATTTCAAAAATCTTTTGATGTTTTTCGTTTGGTGTTGTTGTTTTGTGGTTTTCAAACAATGTAGTGAAAATGTAGCATAGGGTGAAGAACCAAATTAGTGATATTATGTAAATATTTTGGAATACTAACATATCTTTTTCTTTATCTTTCAGGAACAATTCATATCTATAGTGTATCAAGACATATGATGACTCTGGGTCACTCTGCAGAGGTGAGATTCATAACTTACAGTATGTATGGGTTTACAGAGGTGGATCCAGCATTATAAGAAGAGGGTGGGGATGGGGGATGGGGGCCTTGGGACCACCTCCCCCCTAATTAATCAACCAGCTGCAGAGATGCCAACCAAATTAAATTGTATTTAGTACGATAATTATTTTTATTATTTTTTAAAAATAAATAAGTAAACAAGTACAAGTAAACCCCCGCAACCCCAACAAAAACTTTGCTTTACAATTTTCTCTTTAAATTTTAATGAAAGAGCAAACATAAACATAAACACAAACATAAAGTAAAACATTTTTCTGAAATTTTCTCCCCAAAATCTGATTTTTTAGGATACTCAGTCTGTTTTTTTGTGTGTCAAGAGGTTGGCATCTCTGCAGCTGGTTTATTATGAATACAGGAATGTATATATTGCTAAGGAGGTCTAACATGCCAGAAATGAGCTGATGATATTCAGTGGATATCTACAAATATGTAGTGCTGCTGAAAAATGACAAATTTTGGATACAGGTCACACTCTGTTGAATCCTTTTCCTATAGCACTTAACCTCAACTTTGAAGAAACAAATTCTCTCTTCTTTTTATGTAGACAAATAAAAACAATACAAATAGAGATGATAGTTTTTTTGCATTTTATGTTTTATGGCCAAAATTGTGATATGACATTGTGTAACAAAAGTAAGTACAACGTAAACACCTAAAAATAAATGTAACAGTAAGCCTATGCCCTAGCTACATAGAGGTCGTGGTCGAGTGGATACGTCGCCGGACTGTCAATCGCAAGGTCCGCGGTTCGGGTCCCGTCACGGCATTAATGTCCTTTGGCAAGACATTGATCTACATTTGACACACTCAACCCAGGTGATGTCAATGGATACCTGACAGGAATTAATTCCTTGAAATGCTTGAGCGCCGTAATGGCAGCCGTGCTAAAGCCAGTGTAATAATCTCTGTGCTTCAGAAAAGTTCATTTCGCATTGCAAATGCTGTATTATTATTATTACATACATGAAATGAAATAATTTTTTGCTGTTATAGGTATTGGAGTTTCTACTGTGGGCCTGTATGTGCATGGAAAACTCTGTACCCCTCATGTCTGTGCGTTATCTACAATGGAGAACCACTCTGTATACTGCTGTGTGTCAAAGCTACTTTGACTGCAAGGCTCATCAACAATCAGAGGTATGGCTTGAAGTAAAAAGATCAATTCAAACTCAAAAGACGAATGTATTTGTAATGATGTATATTTATTAGAGTAACTTCAGACTTGTGAAAATATATGCCATTTTTAAGTACATATTTGATGTTTGATTAGTATTTTGTTTTCTACAAATTTGACACAACTCTTACCCTGAACGAGTTGAGGCAATTCACACACCAACAAATAGCTTCTAGCAATGAAGTTGCAGCAAGATAAATGTTCTTATGATAATTATACATTTAAATAAAATCAAAATGGTGCATGTGGATCATTGATTGCAAATTTGATGATAAACTACAATAGATAAAGATATCTTTTGTAAAAAGTCATTGTGAATGTGCTAATGTAAGAATTTTTTTTTTCTTCAGACTTTTGCAAGACGGGCCCTAGGAAAGGTGAATGAATTGAGTCAGCTAGAACGTATCAGCTCTGCTCCACCTAGCGTTGAGATTGAGGCAGTATTCAGACAGGCAACAGTCAAGGTAACAAATTCTGTCATAGAATTTTGTAATAGTAGTGAGATGTCCTTGCATAATTACAGTGCTTTAATCATATTTTAAGCTAATCTATCCGAGCCGTTCTTATCAAGCAAACTAAATTGATTTAGTGAAATTGCTTGATATTTTGAAAAATTATTTATGACAGTTACATGTTACCAAACATTGTGAATTTTAACACTGGCATGTGTATTTGAAACTGTAGCTTGGCATCATGGTGTACAGACGTTCAGTGTTTGACCGCAAGCGACCTAAAGGACTACTGCGTCCAAAGACGAGAAGCAATGTAAAGGACTCGCAGTCGGTGAGTATTATCATTACAGATTAAGTGTATTCTCAATAGCCAAAATAGGAATTAAGTGTTCATTAGACAGTGAATTAAGGGATGTTTTTATCCTTAGATGGACTAATTTTATGCCATTACAGATTAAAGGAATGTTTTAAAAAGTATGGTAGGTCTAACACTGGTCAGTAATGGCATATGGACCAAATTGTTTGGAACATTTTTTTGAGGACCCAAATAACAGGCTACATAATCTGCAAGTAGGGCAAGGTCTTCAGAACAGAGTAAAGATATTTTGTAATTAAAGACAATTAGCTAATATAAAAAACAACAATTAAACACAAGAAATCCAATGAAAAGCGAGTACCATTCGGTATAGGTTTACATTTTAAACTCAAATTTGATTTGAAACTACAAAGTAATTTAAAACTAGTTTCTTACATAATGTAACCCACCAATGGAATCAATCTTTATGTACTTACCAGTATTTGAGTCAAGGCACATACTCCCCTTGATGTAATTTTATTTTCTTAAGTGAGCTTGAAAGCAATAAATTTACTTGATTTGATTTAAAAATAATGCCATACCCTAGCCTACTGAAGTACGCACAGTCACTCTAGTAGCCAGTGACGGACGCCTCATCTGGCATAAAACCACCAAACAACGACTTGACGACCTTGTTAAGAAACAAGGAAATGTGAGTACGAGTGTGTCGTTCATCTTCTAGGTTTCTCATCCATCCAGTGTGTCTGTATACATCTAACAAGAACCAAACCTGAAGACATTATCCAGTTTGCTGTGCACTAATTTCATCCATATCAAACAGAATAACCATATGGTTTGTGATGCGAAGAACTAACAAATGATGATTATTGGCATTAACTTTCTGATATGACTTACAATCATTAATTTTTTTCTTTGCTTTTTCTTCAGTATTTTGTAGACATGAACAAGAAAGTATGTCATTTTTTCCCTATATTGAAAGCATTTTGCATTTTGCAAAGCTGGGTTATTCTAAATGCAAACAATTACTTTTAAGGCATGTGTAGCAGAAGGAAATTAATGTATGCAATTAACACTGAAAGCTTTCTTTATCGGCATACATGTCATAGTGGTAGGACCATGTTCTGGCATCATTTGCTGCCGGCTTCATTTTTTCATAGATAGAGAGTTAGGGTTGCAATTAGGTTTTAAGTTAAGATTGTGATGGTTATAGGTATGAAGTTAGCATTATTGAAAATGACTGCAGAGCAATTGTCATTGCAAGCGATGTTTTTAAATAGTTGTGCATTTTGAAATGCTGTTGACAATTAACTTTATAAACATATAGAAGGTTGATTTTATATTATGTGTTGTTCTAGTGAATTTCATTCAAAACATTTGTTGTTGTTGATTTGTTTATTGCATTCCATTTGTTCCATGATGCAGTGGTAATTAAGATGTTTATTAAAGAAAATATGAGCTAAGGTAGTGAAACATCAACAGACTAATAATTTCTTAAATTTCAGTTATTCCATTTCATTTCAGTGTACATGTACATATTTGTCTCATGTAGCATGGTTCAATTGATCATAATGCAGTGGTTGAATATGAAGTGTAAGGCTAAAATACATGAATGAGAATTATGATCTTAGAAATATTTTTGAAAGGAGTAAATTCTACTTTGCTCCACCTCACCCCATTTACCATAAATCAAGCACTAACAAAAGATAAAGAAGAAAACAAATGAAAATGTATATTAGAAGATAATTCACCCTCCATATCTTATTTTCAAGTTGTATATACATGTATGTAGAGATTTAGGGTACTACCAGCAATGCACTGTAACTCATATTATGTATTCAAGTGTGTGTAACAATCTTGATAAAAATGTAATGCCTTAACATGTAACTAACCTGAGACTGAGAATCTAATATGCTGTGAATGACCGAATGCTGAAATGGAAGTAAAGTTCAGAATCAAGTAGTTTGGAAAAAAATATGTTTTTAGGTCATGGTTAAAGCTGAGCCTATAATTTATTTCACTGAGGTCTTGAAAATTTACCTTTATTCTAAAACCAGTTTGATAGCATTGTAATAAGTATACATTGATCTAGTGACATGCAAAACTCTACTCAGTAACCAATCATCTTTTTCAATTGAATATTTGTCAGCATGCAATTTTAATTCCATATGGTGTTTTTGTTTTATGTCTGTCATTTTATAGATATTTGATGAGTGGTAAAAGATAAAAACTTTGCTAAAATGATTCATCTGTATTTTCTTGTATAAGTTGTATAGTGTATAATGTCTTCATTTGATGTCTATCATTTTGAAAATCTGTTACACTTATTCATTAAAAGACAATCAAGCAAAACTACATGTTTTATGATATGATTGATAGCATTTAAAAAGTCAAGGACATACATCCTGTTACATATATATTTGTAATAGTTTTATCATTATTCCAATCTCAATCTCAAGCAGCTTGTGTAATATGATTTTGATTTTATATCTCTGAAACAAAGCATCTTTTTTTAACAGCAACTGACAAACATTCACTACATGTATAAGCAGTTTATGATAATGTGGTAATTCATCTGTTTGATTGAAGCCAGAAGAGCAACAACTCTGAGTAAAGTGATATAAGTTAACATCTATTTGGCTCAAAACAGACAAGTTATCTGTTTGTTAAAGAAACAGGATCTACATGTTTCTGTTTCTTTATTTTCTATCTTTTTTCTCTTCATCAGCTGTTGTGTGCAGGATAATAGCTGTCCATACTTTTCATTTCATCATTAATACTCTTTACTTACTCATATATTTGTTGATAATGGTTTTTAATCATATTTTCAGACATTTAAAACAGATGTGTTGAGATAAAGAAAGAATTTCCTACATTGTTTTTCCTTTAGCAATATTTTTGCTTATTTTACATACTTTCGTGAGGACGATTCATTAAAAAGAAATTAAAGATATATATATACTCAAATAAATATATATAAAGATAGTTTACACACATTTAAGACGTCTTTTTTGCTATCTTTGTTAGATCACGTGGCCTCGTACTCCTGTAGAGAAGTTACTATCAGACATGTTTGAAGGTAGTGCTGCTCAGTTCCTGGCCATCCTAGAGACGCTGACCGATAGTACTCGCAGGACACTGCTGACCAGTCCAGCTGCACCGGATACTGAGGATTATATCTTGGATACTTTCTCAGAGCTGTTCTTTGCTGGCATGGAGATCATCTCAGGTGAGGTTATGTTTTTTTAATAATTTGTGTAATATCATATTTAGAGCCAGAAGGGTGTTTAAATGTATTTAAGAGTATATAAGTTATGTGCAATGCCCTTCTGGCTCCTAGAAGAAGATATACAAAGTTGATAGGATCAACACTGTATAGTATTCATGACACCATCACTGTCACATCATTGTTTCTTTGACTTTTTTTAAATACCGGTAGTTGTTTCGTTTGTTATCCTTTCAATCTTTCTATTAATTTCTTCTTTTCCAAGATGTAGTGATTTATAGTCATTTCTAAAAGTGTATCATATTCTATATATTCTAATATTGATATAGTCTCATTAAGGATATCGATTTTCTATTCATTCTTATTTAGGACAACTAAACTTATCGTACATATTGCAGTGATTGTATGTTGTACAATGATTGTTTTCAAGGTTTTCAATCTCATTTTTTAGAGAATGTAAAGCAATATGAATACAAAAGTGTTTGATAAAATAGGAAAGCACATTTTAGTGAGGATTTTGTTCTTTACAATTTCAGGCGGAGGAGGGAACCAGCCTCGCAATCCTCAGACAGTCAATGACATCAACCTGTGTGGTGTAGTCCTGGACAAATCCCTCATAGAAATGTCCTCGGCAGCGGAAGATGGTATCCCTATCTCGGCTGTTGTCAAATTCATTAAGTCAGCCTACAACTATGAACAATGGGAGGTGTATGAGAATCTGGTCCATCCTACCATTGAGTTTCTCAAGGTAATTGGTGGTGTTCATTTTCTTTAATTTCTTTAAGATCCATATTGAAAGTTGATTGTAAGTGCAAGCCTGAAAATTTCGATTGAAATATATAGTGAATGCCTTTTCATAAAGAAGGAAGTAAAAATGATGTAACAAAAATATGTAAGATGGAAAGGTGATACCTAAATGAATAGGAAAGAAGATAATCAAATAAGATTTTTGTATAGTGAACTTTTTCTGTTCTTTTTGAAAAGTGAATTAATTATGAATATCATGTTTGTATCTATTTATATTCATGAATTCCATGTTTGTGTACAATTTTGTGTGCTTTTTATTTCAGAATCAACCAGACAATCGGTATACCCATGAACTTCTCTCTGTGGAGATCATGCAAGCAATGGAACCTCTCAATCCAAACAGAAAATCTAAGAAGTCTCATACCCAGGTTGAGGAGATTAACATTGAAACTGCTTCTCTACCTCTACCTTTGGCGCCACCAGGTATGATGTCAGAATGAAATATATTAATAATTTTATATTCAAACTTTGTATTTTATATCAATCTATTTCATTTGATTTTCATGATGGCTTGGCTAAATTGATTTTCATTATAACAGACAAACATTACACTGGTTATGTGATTGTTATGAAACTTCCAAGATATTATGCCAATACTTTGGTACTTGAATACCAATTATATTTGTATAGGAAAAGATACCTTTATCTCTTTTCCCACTATATTTGATATTTAATTACAGGTATATAAAAGCATTTTAATTCAGCAAAATAATTTTTTTTAATTCAAATATATTATAAAAATAACCACTTGTGGTTTGCCCTCTAAATAGCTGTAGTTAATCTGTAGTAATGTTTTGGTTTAGTTTCTACATTAATAGATAAGAGCTAACAGATATCATGGTTTGTAATCCCTATTCCATTTCTATTGTTGCAGGTTCCATATCCTCTCAGGATCACTGGGTGTATCTAGCAGAAGTCCTTCAGGCTTGTGCCAAGGACCTCTCAGCTGTAAGTCTTTGTCATCAAGTTGCTTGAGTTTTCCATGATAGCTGCTACAATAAGCTAACTAAATTTACTGATACCTATGAACTTTTATTTGTATTTTGCAAGTGTTCTGTGATTGATATTTGTATCTATTTGCATGGAAATTATAGTTTTTTTGCAGAAGATAATGATTTTAAGGAAGATCAACCTCTCAGGAGACCAAACAGCTGTACCCTAAAAAGTCTCAAAACTTCTAGAATGCACCTTGTATCTCTGTTATGTCTTACCTAGGATTCCGTTGACTTGGATATGGTTGTCGATGCTACCCTTTTCCTGTGGGGTAGAGTGAAGACTGTCTTCCAGCGAGTGCAGACTGGAGCGTCCGACAGTGGCAAGTACCTGCAGAGAATGGACAATCCTAATAAGGTAAGAGAGAAAGACTGAAGTATTGGATCTCACAAATCACATTCGGTATGAGTCTGAAAGGCGGAATTTGAAGAGAATCTTCCATATGAAAAGTGAACATTTCCCTTAGATTGCTTTTTTTTCTTCCTCCAGACCTTAATCATGAGGTTTCACCCTAAAATATTTATTTGGGGATTTTTAAAAACTGCCTTGATAGAAAAACTGGCTAGCCTGGTTATATCTTGCCAATTTGTAATGTCTCAATTTCAGGACTCAATTCGTTAGTCAAGAATTTCAGAATTCATAAATACTGTTCCTTTGTATGGAACATTTTGTAGAGGGTAGCAGGAATATGACTTAGTTTAGTTTTAGAATTGAATTAAAAACCTGTGAGTTTTCTTTGTACTCTTTGTACTTAATATTTAATTGTTCAAACCATATTTTACTAAAGAAAAAAAATGTTGACATCTTTTATTTATAATTTATAATTTCAGTGGGTGCATATTTTGAGTGTGCTCCATGAGGTGGTGTATTGGTGTGGTATTGCTAATGTGGATCCAGGACTAACAGCTGAAGTTGGCATCAGACTAGCTCTAGTCCTTGAGAGCCAGGCTACTACAGAGATGAAAGAAACCGGTAGGTCTTTTCTTATGTTGCATCTTGCTTGGAAGATAAAATAAGAATGAATTTGTGCATTAGAAGAAGTAAAAGTAAAGTGAGCAAGAAATACTTTATTATTTAAAACAAGCTAACCATCAACCTGAAGAATACTTATATGGGCCATTGCAAAAGCCTTTGAAGGACTACTTATTGTGTGAGAGAACATTGAGTGTTGTATGTTTGTATTAGTTCAAGTTAATTTTCAAATGTTGCAATCGTTGTTTAAACGATCTTTATACAGTCAAACCTGCTTTAGTGACCACCTGTCTATAAAGACCACAGTTTTTGTTTTCCTTGAAACAGTTTCTCATTGAAACATGTACTAAAGGAACCTGTCTACAAAGACCACCTGCCTACGAAGGCCACTGTTTGTGTTTCCCATGGGCGGTCGCTATAGACAGGTTTGAATGTAATAAGTTTTGGTGCAAATTGAAGCGCTTTGTAACTGCAAGGAAAAGGCACTATATTAAGTACTCTGAAGAGTGGATTAGATTCGATTCGATTAGATTATGTAGCTACATCACCATGCTGGATGTACATATACTACCACTTCTATTGAGTTCTATTGAGAACTATTTATGCAAGATAGAAACAAAATACATATATGGGACAGCATATTTATGAAAGTGAAGGTGCATTCATTATCTTTTATTTGCCTTTATTTTGTTCAGCCAAAGCTCGATCTATGGATGATCACCAGAGTGTAGAAGAAGAGCCATCTCCATCTCCATTTTACAAAGGTATGTTTCAGATCATTACTCTGCCAGAGTAATTTGAAATGTAAAACCATAATGGTTTGCCTCTTTTGAGAAGAAGTGATGAAGTTTAAACAAACTTTTGCCAAAAGAAACTATATGTTTGTATTGCTCCAGCTGTTCCATTGCTGTTACTAGTGATACCTAGAATTCATAATTTTTTTGGAAGAACATACAGTACATCTTCAATAGTATCAGGACTAAAACCTAGATATATATCACAAATGATGTCAAAAAATTCAAAATCTAATTTCTGCATTCTTTTACTTTTAAAAACACTGCACTATCACAGTTGTACAATTCTAACAAGAGATCAAACATCTGCCTTCATGTTCAGAATCGCCATTCAGGAGTGAAGGTCGTACCACGGGGTTAGGAAGAGCCAGCGGTATCACCATGTATGCTGCCTCTATCCTTCAGCAAGGTCCACAGGAGCAGCTCCTCCTGGCTAGAGAGATCCTGGAGAGGGCCTTACAGGGTGTGTCCTTTGCCAGGTCAGCTGTGGCTCTGACTGATGGCAAGTCCATTGCTGATGTGACCTGGGTCAAGGTAGGTCAACAAAACGGAAGATGTGTTCAAGGGGTTTGGAGGGAGGATCAGACTCTAGAGAGATTCTGGAGAGGGCCTTGCAGGGTGTGTCCTTTGCCAGGTCAGCTGTGGTTCTGACCGATGGCAAGTCCATTGCTGATGTGACCTGGGTCAAGGTAGGTCAACAAAACGGAAGATGTGTTCAAGGGGTTTGGAGGGAGGATCAGACTCTAGAGAGATTCTGGAGAGGGCCTTGCAGGGTGTGTCCTTTGTCAGGTCAGCTGTGGCTCTGACTGATGGCAAGTCCATTGCTGATGTGCCCTGGGTCAAGGTAGGTCAACAAAACGGAAGATGTGTTCAAGGGGTTTGGAGGGAGGATCAGACTCTAGAGAGATTCTGGAGAGGGCCTTGCAGGGTGTGTCCTTTGCCAGGTCAGCTGTGGTTCTGACCGATGGCAAGTCCATTGCTGATGTGACCTGGGTCAAGGTAGGTCAACAAAACGGAAGATGTGTTCAAGGGGTTTGGAGGGAGGATCAGACTCTAGAGAGATTCTGGAGAGGGCCTTGCAGGGTGTGTCCTTTGTCAGGTCAGCTGTGGCTCTGACTGATGGCAAGTCCATTGCTGATGTGACCTGGGTCAAGGTAGGTCAACAAAACGGAAGATGTGTTCAAGGGGTTTGGAGGGAGGATCAGACTCTAGAGAGATTCTGGAGAGGGCCTTGTAGGGTGTGTCCTTTGTCAGGTCAGCTGTGGCTCTGACTGATGGCAAGTTCATTGCTGATGTGACCTGGGTCAAGGTAGGTCAACAAAACGGAAGATGTGTTCAAGGGGTTTGGAGGGAGGATCAGACTCTAGAGGGATTCTGGAGAGAGCCTTGCTGGGTGTGTCCTTTGTCAGGTCAGCTGTGGCTCTGACTGATGGCAAGTCCATTGCTGATGTGACCTGGGTCAAGGTAGGTTAATTACCAAAACGGACGATGTGTTCAAGGGGTTTGGAGGGAGGTTCAGACTCTAGAGAGATCCTGGAGAGGGCCTTACAGGGTGTGTCCTTTGTCAGGTCAGCTGTGGCTCTGACTGATGGCAAGTCCATTGCTGATGTGACCTGGGTCAAGGTAGGTTAATTACCAAAACGGACGATGTGTTCAAGGGGTTTGGAGGGAGGTTCAGACTCTAGAGAGATCCTGGAGAGGGCCTTACAGGGTGTGTCCTTTGTCAGGTCAGCTGTGGCTCTGACTGATGGCAAGTCCATTGCTGATGTGACCTGGGTCAAGGTACGTCAACAAAACTGAAGATGTGTTCTAGGGGTTTGGAGGGAGCATTAGAATTATTGGAATAAAGGATTCAAAGGTTATATATACTATTTTCCTGTAGATGTGAAGAAAAAAATCTAGCAAGGTATATTTAATAATAATAATAATGGGTTCTTGTATAGCGCTCATGTCTGTCAAACATGACACTCCTTGCTTGAGTGTAGTTCTCATTTAGTGGCCTTTTCATTAAATTGATGAAGATAATTTGTACCTGAAGATAATATATCAACAATAAGCTTAGTATTACCAAATTACATTCTGTATTTATGTTCTTGATTACAATTTCTTTTGCACATAGTTTATGATTTTTTACAATATTATTTGGTGGTATTACTCGCGGAACTTTTACAGGAGATACTCCAGTTTATAGTAAAGAGCACAATAAAGCCATTCAGTTTTTTGTTGTAGTCTTACTTGTAACTTGCCTGATATTAATTTTTAAAGCTCTTTATTATTTGAAGTGTGAAGTGCTTTGTAAGAAACCCAATATTTCATTTCTTTACTTGACAATAAAACAGGACTTGAACACGACTGCTCCACCCCCTGATGAACAACCTGCTTCTCACACTGATGAGACCCGGCCACCCCCGACCGCTCCAGCTCCAGCTCCAAACACCCAGGAGGATGAGGAGGGCGCTGATGGAGTCTTCAACACCATCATGGATCTCCACCTGGAGCTGCTCTACATGTACCACAGAGTCTGTCTGAAGCTGGCCCAGATCCAGGGGTCATGGAAGAAAGCATCTAAGGGGTCGGCCAAAGCATCTGTCAAAGGGTCAACCAAAGGCTCGGCCAAGAGTACTGCAGTGCCCAGCAGGATTGGTAGCACCAGAATTACCAGAGGGGTAAGAAATAGAGGAAAATTTTTGGCTTTGTTGACAGTCAAACCTGCTGTAGTGATCACCTGTATAGAAAGAACACCTGTCTATAATGACCATATTTTTAATTTCTCTTGAATAATTGTTTCTCATTGAAACCTGTACTAAAGGAACCTGTCCTTAAAGCACACCTGCCTTTAAAGACCACTTATCCTGTCTCCGTTGAGTTTTTAAGGCATCATGCATTATTAAACGTATGCTGCGAGAATGCCTACATGAATATACAGTGTTAGTACAATTTAAAAGATGAATATCAGCTAATACAGTTGAACAGTGTATTAAAGTGATTTATAAATATGTTCCTTTCACTTTAGTCGTAATGGATTTATGCTTTATTTACGCCTACAGAATGAACTGGACAGCATGGCTATAGATACCGTAGAGGAGCTGCTGGATTTCTGTGATAAGAACCTTATTTCTAAGGCACTCTTTGCCATGCAGCAGGCGCTTCAAGCTGATAAGGGTGCTGGACCAAGTCAACAGCAGAAGCAGCTTCTACAGGTTAGATCTCAAGCAAGAGTTAAAAATTTTAAAGTTATGATAGGTCTATTACACAACTTTAGCTGATAGCCTTGTAATTATACTTAATGGGTTTGAGGATATATTTAGATCGACGATATAAGAAGAAAACACAGACTATAAGAATATGTGCATCTCACCACTAGCATGACTTTTCACAGTCCCCATTTTTTTAAACGTCTATGACAGCACTACTACCAAGATTAATTAAGTCTGCCTTATTAGTTTGAATTCTAAACCCCAAAGGGAAATGTTATAGTGTATTGTGATAAAATCTGCAGTAAAAACATGAATGTAGTAAATTTATGTGAAAATCAGATCACAGCAGATGTACCCGCTGATTCTGCTTGATCCTAAATCTTGTATTTTTTTTATTGAATAACATTTTCATAAAGATACCTACTACGGTACGCAAAATATTATTTTGAATATAACTGGTGAGACCAGCACAAAACATCTCTTTAGTACCTGGAAGTAATCATCTCATTGAAGAATAAATTAACAACTTTTAGAATGTATTACAAAGAAGTAGATAATTAAAGATTTATGAAATATTTCTCAGGATGCCATGAACTACATCACCAAAGCCCAAGACCAGGAGCTGAAACTCTTCAACAACAATGCGAAGGAGAAAGAAGAAGGCAGTGTACGGGATTGTGGCGTTCCACCAGCACCATTGCTTGTATGTCGAACTGATAACAGCATGGTGTTTAAACCTGCTCCATTCAACCCTCCTCAGAAGGTGAGTTTTTTTAAAGGATTTTCAAGACATTGCTAAACAAGAAACTTTCCAGAATTTCAAACAAACAGCCATTTCTATGGAAGGAAACAATTACGAATAGCAAAAGTGATTTTATATCGTATTTCTCTGTTCGTCATTACATGAGAAAAAATACTACAATAGGGAGAGAAACTCTCCTTTTTCATGTTTTTGGAAGACTTTTGAGAATCTGTGCTGTTTTTATATCAACAATCAAAGTTTTGCTCCGAATTCCACGTACACGATGGCGTCTCCGTCAAGCAGCAACGGCAGCACCAAGCTGCAAAAAACCAGCGGAATGCTGAGCACGGCTAAAGCCGAAACTTCACCGGGCGAAACCGCCGCGGCCCCCTCTACGAAGCCGAAAAATATACGCTAATCTTACATGATTATTCCAGTGTTGTACAGTATATTTCCTTGAACATTTAAAGGAATTTAGCTAACATTTGATATATATTTCTTGCTCAAAATTCTATTTTTGTTCCCTTCCAGGTTGCATGGTACCGTCTATTTGCTCGAAAGTCAAGTGGTAGCAATGTTAAAGTCAGGTTGAATGACTACATTCTTCCTGGTACTGGTGAAGAGGTAAGCCATACTAAATTTATTCATAAATTTATAATTTGCACTTTTTTCTATATCTCATCTTCCCTCTTGCCCTTTTCTTGTATTTTTTCATTTTCTCTGAATGATCCCCATCACCTCTTGTGCATTTTTTTCATCATATTCTTCTTTCTACAAGTATATTTTTAACTTCACTCTTGTATTCCTTCCTCTCACTCCCTCTAGTTGCCTTCCCCTTTCTTTCTCTATCTCATCTTTTTACCCACTTTGTGCTATTTTTTCACATTGTACTGTAGGTATTGAATATGAAAATATATTTCATCTTAAACTTTTGTTAGTTCATGTAAATAGATGTTATCTGTAAAAAAAAAGTTGCACTGTCATTTGGCATTATCATTTCCATTGTCATCTCCTTCTTAAATCCTATCTGCACTAGTTTAGCCAGGAGGATTAGACCTCCCTGTGTGGTCACTGACAGAGGGAATTATCTCATCAAATCAGCTCTCAATTTACATAAGAAAAAGGGGACCATGGGGGACCAACTGGTACCGCTTAGGCATTGTTTGCTATATAGAGGACACAAGTAGCTACAAGTAGTGCAATCCTGCTTTAAATAAACCATGTAATGTTAGCATTTTTAATTATCACCCTCTTTTGACAGGTTCCTGCCTATGACTGTGAGCTGCGTGTGACAGGGTTAAAGGTCAATGAGCGTTATGTGTTTGCTGTGGCAGCATACACTGATGATGGTCAGCTGATAGGGAATGCTATAGGAGATACCAGTAGGCCTATCCTAGCATCGCATCCTCTCCCTGTTCTCATGACATGGGCATTCCTTGGACAGGTCAGCATGCTGCTCTGATATTCTTATGTTGTATTTGTTCTATGTTTTTTTTGGAGAAAGGAGAAAGAACTCAACTTGCTACTTAGGATGTGATTAAGACTTCCAACCATTAAATTGTTGAATTTTCCAAAGGGATTTTTCATATCATTTAGTTATAGAGGACTTATTGGTGATAGTGGTAGTATACCCAATCCTTCAGTTAAAGAAAATTGTATTGTTCATGTTATTCAACAAGGAAAGCAAATATGAAAACATGCTGCAAAATAGTAGTTCACCTCTGAAACTGTTTGATCACCAGACTTGTCATATATAAAACTTCAGTTATGGTATGTGTCAGACATACATATATGTTGCGTTGTTTTGGCTTTCTATTCACTTTTCTTCATTTCCACAAGGCCTTTTTAGTTATGAAAAGATCCATGTTGATCATGAGTTGCAGCAGCTTACCTTTATCATACCAATACCAGATGTAGATTTGCTTAATCTCAGTTACAGTGAATTTATATATTTGTTATACATTAATCAGGCTGCATACCAGGTTGGATGTTATGAGATTGGACTGAGAGCCAGTAGAGTTCTGTGGGATCACTTTGTGGCTCCAATCCCTCCTCCCTCTGCTGAGATTCAAACTGAGACAGCAAGAGAAGACTACAAGCTTACACTCAGAAAGTAAGTCCAGTCAAATGTTCTGTTCAGTACAACAGTAGAGTCGCCTCCTCCCCCCCCCCCCCCAAAAAAAGAGAAAAATAATAGTTCATGACATTGGTTTGAAGCCTGGTATCTATTTGGACCCCCCCCCCCCAAAAAAAAAAAAAAATAATAATAATAATAAATAAATAAATAAATACTGTAAATCTCTGTGTATAAGGCGCACCCCTATTTTGAAGACAAAAAAAAAAAAAAAAAAAAAAAATTATTATTATTCAGATGTCACAAGTCTGAAAAAAATGGACTTCTTAAATAACTATGGTGATATCAGTTTCGTCCAGTGGTAATTTAGTAAAGGTAATACAAAGTTTTGGGAAATTATAAAAATTGGGTGGATAGTGATTCTTTACAATTTTGATAAATTTGGATGCCCCTTTGGATGTATTATAAGTACTAAAAAATTTAGCACCTGAAACACTTCTGCTTTCAAGAAAAATTTAATATAAAATTTACCGGTGCTCCCGGTAAATTTTGATAAATTTCAAATAGCTCCTACGACCCTACAATGGTAGCTGCGACCATGAATTCTCAGAATATGTAGTTGTGATATATAATTTCCAAATGGGAATAGCTAATTGGTTGATTTTAGTCAAGAAACATTGTTTTATAGCTTCATTAATATCTTGACCTTGAGAGGGAGCTATACAACATAAATAGTTTATTATTTACAATTTCATAGCTTTAGACTCGATTTCAACCGTGACAACGATCACTGAATATTGTAGGATCGCATATGCTTCCAATATGTTTATTTGAACCAAAATTCATGACCCCCGGCCCATACCAAAACTTTCTTTTACCTTTAAGTGAACAGTACAAAATACAGAGTTCATATTACGGGATCTATATGTCGCATGGGAATACCACTTATTTCCTTGATGCTTATTGGATGAATTTGAATTAATTTACACCCCTGTGTAGGTTGAATCCAGAGATAGCAAGTGTGGCCTCTCCCCTGCTGCTGAGAATGTTTCTGAGTAGCATCTTCATCAATGTGGACATCTCTATGAGAGATGGAAACATCTACTGTAACAAGCTCTGCGACACCGGACCCTACTACAAAGGCCAGGTAAGCAAGCCAACACCCTAAATATCTTTCTTGATCTCTCGAAAGCATCTCTATAAATGACAGGAAATTACACATTGCCATATCACTTTTCCCATACAATTTAAAAAGGACATAGGATTTAAGTAAGGACAGTGTCTTTGAGAATTCACAAAAGATGTGCAGTTGCCTTAATCCAGGTTTTGTTACTCCTTGCAAAAGAAATATCGATGTAGATAATCCTTTACTGTTACAAACTGAAGTGGACCATATTACAAATGTCTTGTAACTTGATACCTCAAACATTTCTATGTAGATGGGCAGTTGCCTTAATCCATGTTTTGTTACTCTATGCAAAAGATATATTGATGTAGATGAATCCCTTACTGTCTCATACTGAAACTGAAAAATGAACCATATTACAAATGCCTCGTAACTTGATATGTCGAAAATTTCTATGAATCTAAGGGCAGGAAGCTCATTGTTAAATCACTTTTCCTATAGGATTTAGAAAGTGTCCTTGAGAATACACATATGATGTGCTGAGTGCCTTAATCTAGTTTTTGTTATCTGTATCCATTATAACTAATTAAATAACTTCTCTAGCAGCTGACCACTTGTGTAAATCCACATTAAAATGAAACAGTAATATACATGCTTGCACATAGTTACTATAATTGTAAAATAAATTACTCTCAGTACAGCTGGCCTTCCTAGTAAAAGGAGGGGAAAAAACCCAGGAAAGAGTGATTTTTTTTAAACCAAGTATTATTCTGAATTGTTTCAGACCCAGAGACTTGAGAACTGTGAGCGGATGCTTGTAGCCATTGAGTTAGCTGGCTGGTTGAACGAGACTAACATGGCTCTCCAAGCCGTTGTACAGTGCTATGGACTACTAGCCCCTGTCATTCACTACAAGATTCCATCTATTCCTGTTGTACAGGTGAGTGACTTAGCCAGACTTTGCAGTGATTGCTTCTCCAACTTTTGCTTTATATGACATTTTAGAACATAATTTTATATAGTGTTAGTTAATCTACCTGCTAATTCTCCTTGATTATATACTACTCTCTGATGATGTCTACATTACCTTTGTTAGAATCTGCAAAAGAAATGTAGAGACTTCTATACCAATGCTGTGCATTACTAGTTAATTCCTCAACATTGTATACTCAACATGGCATATGTAAACTATTTTTTAATGTATAAAGCATCTCATATTGGATTTATGAACTTAATGAATTGGAACTTGCAATAGGTTTCCTTGGCAACAGTAAAAAGCAGCTGTTGTCTCTTGTAGACTAATTTACTGCTCCATTCCATGCCCATTGTCCTTGTAGGTTATATGAGCACATCGGTATAAATGACTTACCCATAGTTATATGAAGTGTATAGTGCTGTTTGTGTGCCTTGAAAGTAACAAACCATGTTTTTCCTATGAATGGTGACCATATTTCTAGGTGTTGACTCAGTGCTGTGCGGTGCTGCAGGATATCCCCAACAGCATGAGACAGCGTCGGCAGCAGTCTGTGTCAGACAGCCTGCATCACATGGTTGCTACGATCACCTTCTACATGGCCAAGGTGCTGAGGACATGGAAGCAGAGATCTCTAGCCAATCATATCATTGAGAGCGGCAAGAAGATGCTGGTTGTGGAGAAGGTAAGGTCAAACAAAAGATGGTATGAACAGTATCATCATGGCCGGCTCTCACAATGTTGTGTGGTGAGAGCACCAGGGCCCTGTTTCATAAAACATGTTATCAATAGCAAATGATAAGATTCTATGACAAATTGCTCTCAGCCAACCAAATGCCATGATTTCAGTAGCTTATAACAGTGATTGTAACTTGTTATTGAAAACAAGTTTTATGAAAAAGGGCCCATAACTGTGTTCATGCACTCAATTTTAGAGTTATAATTACTGCCTTTCTAGTTCTCAGCAGAAGATCTATAAGATTGTCGTTTGGTGCTTTTTTAAAGGTTGATGTGATTAAGCAACATCAAAATCTTTCTCAAGTTG